TACTATGTACACTTTAGGTATACTTTTTAAGGTAGAATATTTCCTCTAAGTTGAATAATTTTAATCAGCTTTTGTTTAATCGTTTGAAGTACTTATCAACTTTGACAAGCTTCGATTTACACTACTGTGAAATTTAAATCTTTTAGAAGACTTTATCCTGTTTCGCTTCGCCGATGGTAGCAAATGTTAAGAATCTAGAAGATATTCAATTTCTGTCTTACTCAAATAGTTACCACAAAGAATATGCTTATATATGCTTAGGTCTAAACGGTTCTTCACATATAAATTGAATCTGCATTATAGCTAACTATATACAAATGTAGCGTTCATCAAAATTTCAGGTAGGAAGGGAAGACTAGAACATCAGTATAGTTATGATAAGGATTGCACATTTATTCCCCGTCATCCTATATCTGTGTATACAACTGCATGGAGGTTAAAGACATGACCGAAAAAATAAAAACAATCAATATTCGATACAAACCTCAATTTCACTTGTAAGAAGTGAGGACGTCTACAGAAAAACATTCATCTAAAGTATTTTAAACTGCGGATTAATATACTACAACTTGTCCCCAACTGCGCTAATCTGTGACAGCTCGAAAATATTTTCCTGTTTATATTGGACCAGATCTTATTATCGCACTGCTATAGTTCTACCTTTTCATTTGAACGTATTGCAGCTCTATATGTCCAAGGTATTAAAATAATGTATCTGTACATACTTTGTGTACACTTTTTAAGGTCAAATGTTTTCTTTAGGTTGAAAAATAATGGAAATAATTTTAATCCGCTTTCGTTTATTCATTTGAAGTACATATTAACTTTGACAAGCTTCGATTTACACTATCGTGAAATTTAAATCTTTTAAAAGACTTTAGCCTGTTTCGCTTTGCCGATGGTAGCTAATGTAAGATTCATGCTTAAGCCAGGCGCACATGCATGACGCGATTTTTGTGGCTTAGAAAGTAAATAAAATCGTACGACAAAAAACGCGTCGTGTGCGCTTGGCTTTTGGTGGCGTGCGTCGGGTTCAGAGAAGCTTAAATCTGCGTTTCACGTGAGTTCTTTGTAGGGAAAACGTGTGTCGAAAATCTAGACTTTATTCAATTTCGGTCTTATTCAAATAGCTACCACAAAGAATATGCTTATATGCTAAAGGTCTTAACCTATCAATTGAGTTTTGAATCTGCATTATAACTACATTATACATTTTAGAGCGTTCATCAAAATTTCGCGTAGGAGGAGAAGGCTGGTATATATAGTTATGAGAAGGATTGCACATTTATCCCGCGTAATCTTATATCTGTGTATACAACTAAAAAGAGGTTAAAGATCACCTCTTCAGACGTGACCGAAAAATTAAAAACAATCAATATTCAATACAAACCTCGATTTCACTTGTAAAAAGCGAAAACGTCTACAAAATTGTTCTTTTACCCAAAATCTTCGCGCCTTTAAAGACATGCAGTGCTCGAATATTTCTAAATTCTAGAAAAAAATTAGGGAGAAAAAATAATCGTCACAGATTGACAAAATAAACGAAACAATTGTAGCTCTGCACTTTCTCACCGGACTCGTCCGGGCAAGTTTTATCGCACGTTTATCACAATCTCTGGCATAAATATATTCCATTCGGCACTAAGAACTGTGCATATTTGTGCATTTTAAAATCGCTGATTAGCTATATCAGCTGTTTAAAATGTTGCTTATTTTTAACACAAGCGGTCAGTCATATAGGTTTGCGCAAGGCAAATATGAAAAAACAATCCGCCTGATCACATAAAGAAGTAAGTAAGTATGAATGCATGTCATATACATGCACGGTTTCAAGCCAAACACGTTTTCTTCAAATTCCCAATGAATTATGTCAAAATGATCCATAACAAAGTTCGCTCCAAATGTTCTTCGAAGCCCACAAGTTTACTGAGAATCGATATACAACAGCTAGTGCCTTTTAAGGAATTTTAAAGTCATTTGATACAGTTTAATATTTTAACAGTCTTTTCATATTTATAATAATTTTGAGTACTTACATTCATTATGGCGTAAATAGCAGAAAATTTTATACTAGCTATATTATAAACTTAAACGAAAAACATGAAACTTAAACGTATGCATGTTTCAAGTTTTTCTATGATAATACAGGCTATATTATCTATCTAATATCGACATTGCACATGCATGGATATCATGTTTCGTATAAATATATTAAAACATTTTAATTCGCAAGTTTCAGGAATATGAAAGTTTAAAATGACAGTTATCACGCTTATATCGATCGTGCAAGACCGAAAATGTTTGAAAAAAGATGTTTACACAAATAACATGTTAACTTTAGAAACATTTCTTTTAAATCATATTCGATGATAAGATATATTCAGAGGTCTGTGGATTTTAATGTCCGCGAGATACATATAACGAGCCCGAACCTGTAACAGCTAATAAATTCGAGAACACAATTTCATATTTATTAGATAATTATAACTATTTCCGCAATCCAATCAAATCTCTGTTTCAAACATCCAAATGCTCAAGTGGCTCAATACAGACGGTTTTTTTTAAAATGTCCGTTTTGCAAGTCGAAGCAAATCTTTTTATTAAACAGATTATATAGCTTATATAATAATATCCAGCGCAAACTGTGACAGGTTCGTTGAAAACATACAGGAGTTTCGTGCCGTTCTGCATGACTTTATTAAGATGACATGCGCGCACTCATTCGATCACTCACTATATGTGTGCATCCCAAGGCCTGATCAGTTTTATCCTGATCGAGACCCGACTAATATTTTTGAATCGTGAAACTACATATATAATACCATATAGCTATATGATCAGAACTGTTAACAAAAGTATATCACTCGGAAGGAGACGTCTTGCAAACTTCATGAATATTATTGTACATTGAATCTATGTATTTGGAAAATGGCGTGAAATTATCGTTGCCAAAGTCCAAGTGGTCATTGCTATTGGTTTGCGATAAGCAGTTTAAAGCTTAACAATAAAGCATTCTGTCTGATGAAATAAAATTAAATACCGCGCGGAATTGATACCAATATATACAAATGCATGCAAAATTAAATCTACAATATCGAATACAATATCTGATATTTGACAGTTTCTAACTCTTTTGTCCTATTTCCCAACAAGTTACATAAAAAATAATGTTCATGGAGATAAAAATCTTTGGAATATTTGAAAGTGATTTCTAAGAATCGATATGCATCAGTGCATGCTGTAAGGAATACTATTCTACATTAATCTGATAGATATCATTAAGTGCCCTCATCGTATTTCATAGAATTATTTTGAAATATCTTTTATCGTGTTTGTTTCGATTGGAAAGGCTAGAATATTTTAGGAAATAATACTGTGATAAATCATAAGATATGCGTTACTCTGTGGATTGTAATCTCAAAACCTGTGTGAACCTGTAATAAATCGAAAGACGCGATTTCATACATTGGAACATAAATCACCGCCGCTCAGACGCCTTTAAATTTTAATGCACTAATGCACACAGACTATGCTTATGCTAAGGCCTGATAAATTTATACCTTTTTTGAGTAGTAAACTCGAGTCTCAATGATATAATTCCACACAATTAATCGCGGATTAAACAAAACATGGCACTGAGTGGGAGTCTATAATAGTTAAAACAATTACTGTCCGAAGAATACATCGTCAAATATATTTTATTACTTCTATAATGCTATAGCTATATGTCCCGGTGACTGCACACAACTTTCATCCAAGTATTTTTCTCAGATCACAACAGACCCCGCATATATTGAGACTTCGCTACAGTAATAATGAAATAATTAAAAAATACTTACCTCGATTTGATTGGAATTGCCTTTATCACGTACACCGAGTTTGGACGTCTGCCGAAAACAATGTTTGATATTCCCCGAAGCTTTAAATATATTACCGAGAACAACAAGGTGGAATTTCGTTTTAGACCAATCAGCAAGTTTGTATACATTTTCAATAACCCAATCAGAATGCATAAGTTTTGATGAAAAGCTACAATATATACCATTTTACATGAAGTATTAAATTAAGTTAAATTTAAGGTATTGTGATTGGCTTTGCCTAAAAAATGTAAACAAATATAGGGATTAGTTTAAAACAAAATTCCTCCGAGTTACCGGTATTTATAGTGTATATATAGCAACAACTCTGAGAGAAATCTGATATAAATCTACGCACTTGTTTCCAAGGAACAAACCTTTTGACAATGCGTGGTGAATCAAATGTGTAACTAAGGATATGTGAACACATCGGTGGGGATATCGCCCGACATCCTTAAGCGCACATGCCCCTTCCCCGTGCCTCAAAGTCAGGACTCTGGTGTTAAGTTCGCCGGTGAGAACGAACAAAAAGTGAGAACAGTGTTGAGCATCTTAAAACTTTTAGTGAACCGATAGTAATTTAAACTTAACATAGTAGATTAACATTATCCTATTTCTTAATAATAACTTATCTGGTCTGATCAACATAATTCAAACGTTGACTGATAACTTGAACAGCGAATAGCTCTGTAGTTCGAAATCCATTTTGTCAGTTTAAATTAACATCGTCAGGTGTATGGCCATATAGATTGAGCCTTCTTCTATTTAGCAGTATTTCTGTTCACAGTGATGTTATTCAGGCTAATGCCTTATATGAATCATGCATGAATTGTCTGGTTGTTCCCAGACTTTATACGCTTGCTAGGAGAAGAAACTATAAAACTAGAAGTCATTTCCCCTACGCAATACAGTGCGTTGCAGCACACGCTATCGTTGTTTGTGGCCGAGGCCTTGTTACACGTTTGTAGGATAAGGTGCATGTGGATATATAACTATTTGCTTACTCATGCGTGTAAGAAACCTGTTCTGAATATAAATAATTTATTTGCTTACTCATGCATGTAAATCTAAGTTTACTAAATTTCATCTAATATACAATATTATAATTACATGATATTACGATATAATGTAACACTGGTTAAAAGCATTCAAAACTGAACATTCAAAAATTATTATGTCATATTATATAAATTATTTCAGCATGCAAATGTAAATTCTAAACGCTAATTGACTAAGAGCAGTTGTGATATACCTCAGTTTTTATATTTCCAGATGATCATTACAAGGATAAAAACTACTTCTACTAGCTAAAATTGGAAAAAGTCGAAATCTTGTGCACATTAATGAATTAGTATGTAATAGTAAATTAATTAGTTTTGTGTTCTGTACATTAAAATAACTTTCATTTCGTAAAATCAGTGGTGAACCTGACAATAATCCCATTTAAAATCTTCCTCATTATTCATCATTCCCATCCTCACTCTGTTCACTCTCACAGGAGGAACCTTGTTCATCAACAGAGGAAGCGCTGGTGCTATGGCTTGGTCCTGGTAATTCTGATTTAATTTCGCGTGCTTTTTGATGATATTCCTTAGCTTTCTCCATTTCACCTTTACGCATGCACGCACGACTTAGGTTCTCATAGGAAGAAGCTACATCATCATGACTTGTTCCTAATTGTTCTATTCTGATTTTCAGTGCTCGTTCATGACAATCAATGGCAAGGTCTAATTCATTCTTATCCGCACACACCATACCCAGGTTATGGTAGGAATCGGCGACATCAATATGATTTGCACCTAATTGTTCTAATTGAATTTTCAGCGCACGTTGATGAAAATCCTTAGCTGTCTCCAGGTCATCTTTATCACTAAACACAGTGCCTAGGTTATTGTAAGAAAAAGCGATATCAACATGGTTAGGCCCGAAATGTTCTAATTGAATTTCTAACGCACGTTGATGAAAATCTTGAGCTTCATCCAGTTCACCATTATCACTACATACAGTTCCTAAGTTGTTCAGTGAAGATGCAATGTCAATATGCTTTGCTCCCAATTGTTCTAACTGAATTTGTAGAGCGCGTTCATGATAATCCTTGGCAGTTTTCAGATCACCTTTGTCACTATATACAGTACCAAGATTGTTGTATGAAGAAGCTACATCGATATGGTTTGGTCCCAATAGTTCTAACTGAATTTTAAGTGCGCGTTCATGATAATCACCAGCCTTCTCAAGTTCACCTTTATCACTGAACACAGTAGCTAGGTTATTATATGAGGAAGCAACGTCGATATGGTTGGGTCCGAATTGCTTTAATTGGATTTCCAAGGCACGTGTGTGATAGTTCTCGGCTTTTTTCAGGTCCCCTTTATCGCTAAACACAGTTCCTAGGTTGTTGTATGAGGAAGCGACGTCAATGTGGGTTGGTTCCAGTTGTTGTAATTGGATTTCTAGCGCACTTTGATGATATTTCTCAGCTTTTTCCAGATCACCTTTATCACTACACACTGTACCGAGGTTGTTATATGAGGAAGCGACATGAAGATGGTTTGGCCCTAATTGGTCCAATTGAATTTTTAGTGCACGTTGATGGTAATTCTCAGCACTGTCAAGGTCACCTTTATCACTAAATACTGTACCCAAATTATTGTACGAAGAAGCAATGTTGATATAGTTCGGTCCTCGTTGCTCTAATTCAATTTCCAATGCTTTCTGTAGATAATTTTTCGCTTCGTTGAAATCTCCTAAATCATTATGTAAAAAACCAAGTTCGTTGTAAATAATCGATAAATGAACGTCTTTTTCAGAGTTCTTCCATAGTCGCATGTTGGAATTTTGAAATTCCATAGCCAGCCTAAACTCGGAAAATACACGTAAAGTTTGCCCAAAAAATAAATAGATCGGAGTAATTTCAGCTGGCTCAAAGAATAAACTTATGGAATGTAATGCATCCTCTTCAAATAATTCATGAACTTCCGTGTTAAATGTTTTCAAATGTGGTATTAATTTGATTTTATCTTCCCTATCCACAAAATAATGCATCGTTTGGACAACATCTTTCACAATATTTCGCCCGTTGCCATGACAAGCTACTTTGATTGCCTCGTGAACAACACGATGAAGGCGGATGTCTCGCTCTTTATTTCCAACGTGAATAAACAAGGAGCAATGCTTTATCGCAAGAAAAATTTCTTCGTCATCGGACTCTTTATCTTGTTGTAAAATGTATTTTAGAACAAGATCGCGTGGCAGTGGCTCAAAAGATATCAAAGAAAACAAATTGAATGTGTGTTTTAAAATCGTACTACTTTCCTGACATTTTTCCACGGCTAAAAGCACTGCTGCGGACATTGTGGACGAGTATGCAGAATTTATTCGGCGAAGAGGTTCTTCTGTTAATCTTCTTTTACCTTTTTTTAACTTTTCTAAATAGTCTAGCCATGAAAAATTAGGATTACAGTCAGGATCGAGAACTTGTCTCATGTACACTGCAGCTGCGGCCATTGCCAGAGGTTGACGATCCAACCTTTCTGAAACTTCATCTAAGATCGGATCTCTGCCATCCGTTTTCGATAGTAGAGCAAGAAGCTGGCGACAATCATGCTCATTCATGCCCAGGCTCAATGAAACATGCTTACAAAACAAACTATCAGGTGGGACTGAAGTACTGTTTTGCGTCGTTAATATGATTTGACCATTTTTCAGAACCCTATCGCCCATCTTAGGAAGAAGTGAGGAAATAAGCTCGAGATTCTCAACGTTATCTATTACAATCCACCACTTTTTCCAGTTCCTAATTTGAACCATCATTTGCGATCTTAGGTCTTTGATTTTCTCATTTTTTGACTTCGACGAGCTTAATATTCCTCCTAATACGCTTTCGTTGCAATTTAACCGACGACAGAAATCTTCATAAGAGTAGAAAAGAGAATCAACGTCTCTTCCGTCTAATGTCATTACAAACACCGATTCAGCTTGCCAATTAATACCGTTCCAAATATTTTCACAGACTTGCCTAGCTAGTTGAGATTTTCCACTTCCGGGATTCCCACTGATATAGAAATAGGTAAGTTTATCTCCGTTATCACAGCGTAACCTTCCGAGAACCTCTATCACCTCATGTACCTTGTCGGAACGTAGAACGACCTCATGATCCGGGTTAAGAGGAAGAACTTGAAACGATTTAAAACTGCTTCTATTCGTTTTCATTTGAATAATTTTTCTTATTGTAAGTCCTAAAGATTGAAAAGCATTTTCCACCCGAGTTATCATGGTTTGAAAATCCGGATCAGCGAGTTTACCTTCAGATATGTGCTTAATTTCATTTCTTAATGCTCTGAGATTGTCTACCTCAGTTTTGACAGTTGGATTAAGACTTTTTTTACCAATCGAGTTGGAGTAAAGAATTGCATCGAAGAGGACAGAACAATCCCAGTCGTTTGTATCTCCGTCGTGAAATTTAGATTGGAATGTGTTCTTATTTGGCCTTGCTCGTGATTTCTCCAAATTAAACAGCTGACTACCACTTATGTTGGTGTTGTCCCATGCTCCCAACTTTGACTGGTAACGACTGTTCCATTCCCGAACAAAAATTTTCCTTAATTCTTCACTTACAACATTCGTAAAAATATCATCCATGAAAATATAGTTTCGTTTTTCGTTGTCTTCCCACGGTATAGTGGACATTTTGGCTTCTAGAAAACATACAGTCAAATCCTCTAAATATCGTAAATAACGTAAGATGAAAGAGTTTAGGAAGCATTCATAGTTTTAAGCTAAATGAATAATATACACCATTCAGTCTATTTAAATGTTTTTGCTCCATTTTATATAACTTCGATGAATATCCTATTTTGATTAGAGAAAAACGGATTTGACGATTCAAAGTTTTTGGCTTGAACTGAAGGTTTGAACTGACTATTTAAACATGAACGTCAAGCAGAACGTTGAAAAAGAGAATAAAATGCCAACATCTCATTCCACTACTTTTTCAACATCTATTAAATTAAATTGCCACAGAGAATATCCTTGTGGTGTATCTAAATCCCTAAAGCAAAGCGAGTTTAAGTCTGTTCTGAAATTCTTCAAGAAGAGTGAGTTATTTCTGTTGTGAACTCATGCGGTTTCTTTAATAATTTGTGAGCAAATTAAAATTCCGGATTTGTCATGGCTAAAACACTACAAGATTCGAATACTTTGATAAGAATCCTTACTCATTTCAAACAATTCAAGATAAAAAAAATCTATACAATTTTGCTACAACTTCTAAATAAACAAGCGAATACGAAAGCCCAAATACCCGGTGCTAAAGAACAGCTTATTATCGCAAAATACGAAAAGCACGTGAAATTAGGACAGGACAAAAAACCCGGAAGTCGAACCAACCGCAAAAATACGAAAGTGAGGCAAATGTTGCATTCATAAATTTTGAAAAGACATAGCATTCAGCCGTGACGTCAGAATTAGAAAGCGAATATGTCCCATATATTTATTATGAAGTTGAAATTATAAATACTTCGCAAAAACTTCCCAGGTGCATGTGTTAGAGTGTGTTTCAAAAAACAACAAATTTTTGTCTCAACCAATAACGAGCATGGTAGTTCAATCTTTCCTCAGTATAAAATGATTAAGATCCCTGCCTTGCTGACATGTCGAAATTTGCCAACACTGCCCAACAGTGTTAAATTTAGTAAAAGCATCAGTACCTAACAGTCAGGTTTTTTATGATACAACTGTACTATACACAATGGCATACTGCAGCGCACGGTACTATATTATATACATGACATACTGAATTTCACAGTACTATATACATGACAATAATTATACCGCAGTTCACAGTACTAGTTATCTATATACATGACAATAATTATACCGCAGGGCACAGTATATACATGACAATAATTATACCGCAGAGCACAGTACTATATAAAATGACATACTGGGCAAATTCTAAATTTGCAATGGCCAACTGTGCAAATAGGACAATGGATTGCTACCTTTGCTAAACTTTCGCCAATGTCGCAAATTTGGCAATTGCGAGATTTGCCCTGTTTTGAACATCAAGTAATATATGCGTGACTACTAATCGAGCAATCGCACAGTATAATATATTTCCTCTAGAAGAAGTGCTATATACTACCCCACCTGTCCTGTCCAATGAGGAAAACCACACAGTAAGTAATCTTACCTAATAAAGCACTTACAATGAATTATAGAGAATCCTGCTGTCCAAATTGACAAAATCTTTGCTTCAACAATCTTGACAAGATGAACTTGGAAACAAGATCATTTTGGATACTATACTCATATCAACCAATCAGCATCCAACATTTTATTGCTAAAAATTGAAAAAAAAATTATTATTTTACAGCTGTATACTGGAAAATTTTCAGTCAAATAGCAATTAAAATGAAGAATAATTTTCATATGTAGCTGCTAATAATACTGTATGATTTAACTTCAAAGAAAATGTCATTAAAATTTACATCTACAGGATCAGCTGTGAGGTCGGTTATAATTCAAGTTGTTCTTAACTCCTCGGTATAGAAAAATGTAAAAATATATTACCGGCTGGCAGATATGTGATAGACGAATGGGAAAAATGCAATTCTCCATCTCAATCCAGGTGAAAGTTATTAACAAATCATGCATTTTGGGACTGTCAATAGACCTTTGAGGTGCTTACGTCATGTCGGTCTCGAACAATGAATCGCAATGCAATCTGGGAAACAAGTGGGACAAAATTGTATAGATAGAAAACTGTGTGACGTAAGCACTTCAGAAGGCTATAAGAGATATGGCAATTGTGGAAGGATTATTAAATTATGCATTAATATTGTAAGCCTCCACCAAGAGCATTATTGGTGAAATTTACTCTTCAGGAGTTGTATTCCTCAATCTTTCTTCTGGAGGAGTTAAAACTTAAACCCCAAGAAATCTGTCTTCTGAGGATTTCCATTTTAAAAAATGCTACCGCTATTTCTAACTATTTCTGGCCAAGGATGTTATAACAATAATTACATGTGTCATTAAGAACGCAGGGTTTAATTCAGCCTGGTTAACTATAGTTTAGGGTTGACATTTTACCAAAGCTTCAATTTTCTATATAAGTTTAAGCTATACACAACTTGAGGGCCTAGACTGGATTAACTTCATTCATGCAGCTATAGCTCAAACTGTTTGACAAGTTATCCTTCAATCCCAGAGATTTATAGTTGTTTGTATTATTAGACACACACAAGCATAAGATATTTAATCCAAGGCTAAAAACGTTCCTTATGTAATAAAGCCCTGACAAATATTTCGCTTCTAGGAATTGTACTCACGTACATTAATGCCCCTTGTGTCTGTAGGTATATGAAAGTCCCACAGTCACAGTGTCGCGCTACCAAGAAATTCCAACTTTGCTGAGAAATCGTATTCTTAAAATCGCGAATTCTGAAATTCCACCAAGGCCAAGGGTTTTCATATTATACAATAATATGCGGTACAACAAAGTATTTTGATAACCGGTTCTTAAATTAATTAAAATAAGCCATTTGGCGTACCCGAAATGATTGTAGAAATATTATATATCAAGTAAAAACAAAAATCACAAATAATAAACACAATAATACAAAGAAAATGACTGAATTCCTCGAAGAGCTGTCCGGTAGTCGAGTCTACCACCACTTCCGGTCAGGGTTTCACAACTTATTTGCATATGGCTGCCCTCATAGGGGGATAGTAATGACAAAAAACAGACTATTAGAGAACAAAAAACTTTTGAAAAAATGCATAATATATAATTTTAATACCAACGGCCCTGTATACCTCGAGATTTCATTTCGTTTTCAGCTAGGGCAAAATTATCGTAAATTTAATTATGTGATATTTTAAAAGTTTCTTGTATCATGCTTCTCATCACCCTGCAGGATATAACCCCTTCCTGTTCTGTTTGATCCAGATATAGAAGGAAAATAATAAAATACAGTACACCCCCCCCCCCCCTCAAACGAAGCGGTATATATGCGGCCCTAGCAAGCATTAAGTGACAATCAGTGATGTGTCTGCCATACTGCGGTCACCTCATCGAAATGCTGATGACGTGTGAGATGGTCAGGGACAGCTGAGTGGTAAAAAGATAGAAGGGATAATGCCAGCACGAAGGGCGGTCCCGTAGAAAATTCGCAGCCACGCGCTTTTGATTAGCCTGCTCGCAGATTGAATTAAAGTGGAAGTTTATGATTTGTCATTGCAATTTGTGTGTGCGTGCCCAACAATCCACCTTAACTTTCCCAATAAGATAGCTGTACATTGGCAATCCCATGAAATTTGGAGCAGTTTACAGTTTTTGAAGTTTGTTCGAAAAAGTTTCACGCCAATTTACAATAATCAAAAGGCATTTGAATGAGATGTTGATTGATACGGTACGGGAATGTTTCGTACAAAACCAACGACCTGGTTGAAACGTACAAAATTAAAAATCAAAATTTTTATATTTAATGAATCAATTTTTAGTGTACGAATCAAAGAACAAAAATGGTAATGGCGACAAAGTATTAATGAAACGATATGAAAACTTCTGTGTAAACTTTTTCATCATCTGCCGGAAACTAGGCCCGTCTTCATTGACATTGCTACAGACGTGACGTTTTCAAGATGGAATATCAAATAACAAGGGGAGTTCCCTGTGCGATATTCAGTTTCATTTTGAAATTATATGACTATAATGATCTCACTCCTTGCTCCGATTTGTATAACTGTATATTTTGTTTCTTTATATTATATATATTACTTTTCATGTGCTCTTACATTTTCTCGCTCTCATACACTTTCTATCTTATTGTCTGTATGTCTCTAACTGTCAATCAGTTCTAATTCTATTGTCCAAGCTTAATTATCTATAAATAGCAGTTATGTATATTACATCACCCTTTTTTTTTTAAACAATATTAACATTTAACAAAACATAATTCAATCATATACTGAATGTCCAAATCTATCAGGTTTTCCTCTGACTCGGCTCGATCGTCGTGTCGGTATTTGATCTTGATGTCCAACATTTTTTGCTGCTGGTAGTGTGATGGTATTGTTCCTCTTTTGATGACGTTCTTTCTCATTATCGTCATCACTGTCCGTATCATCCCTTGGCTTTGGTATGCGTTTAAAAGACACATTTCGTGTGATAACGTGTCCGTTCTTGCTTCTTGCTTTAACCTGTGAATGCGATCTGTGTGTGACTACGTATGGAACGTTGTTGTAATTCGCAGTCAATTTGTTCTGCTTGTCCTGACGAACTAAGACATAGTCTCCTATCTTAATTTCACTCTCTTTTACGTTTCTTTTTTCATTCGCATATTCTTTGTTGTATCGCTGTCTCTCCATTTCATTCTTTTTAGCAATATTGTGTTTGTTAACAATGTTCCGCTTTTTCAATCCTAGAAGCTTTCCTTTCACTGTACGGTTGAATAGTAATTCCGCTGGTGGAACTTTCGTGGAAGAGTGTGGTGTTGTCCTGTACTGTAACAAGAAACGATGTAGCTCTTGCTGCCAGGGTCTTCTTTCAATGTGAGCGGTTCGTAGCGTTTTTCCAAGGGGCTGCATGAATCTTTCCGCTTCTGCATTGCCCTGGGGCCATTTAGGTGTTGAATGAATATCTTTAATTCCAAGAGCTGTCAAATAACGATTATATTCTGCACTATTGAAAGGCGGTCCATTGTCTGTCTTGATAGTTGTTGGGATGCCATGACGGGCGAACATTTGATCTAATTTGGGTATGACCACAGAAGCTTTTGTCGAGCGTACTACTTCCACTTCGGGATATCTGGAATAGCGATCAATTGCGACCAGAAGGTATATTCTCCCGAAGGAAGTGGTCCGTAGAAATCCAAATGTATCGTTTCCCATGGTCCCTTTGGCATTGTTGTCGTTGATATTGGCTCTTGTGGTGGTGCTTTACCCACTGCCTGACAAGGAATGCACTTCTCGATTGTTGCTTGTACCATTTTATCAATATTCGGAAACCAAATCTTTTCTCGGATTAATGATTTCGTTTTGGTAATGCCAAGATGAGTCTCGTGCGCAATGTCAATCGCACGTTGCTGTAGCGATTCTGGTATCACTATACGAGAACCACGAAGAACCACGCCCTTTGTTGTCACAGTAAGTTCGTCTTTTACTTGTTTATAAGGCTTGACTACCTCGTAGTGCCACTTGTTGAGCTTTATAGCTGCCCGAACTCCTCGTAAGGTTTTGTCCTTGTTCGTTGCTTCTTCGATTTCCTCTATCGTCAGTGCTTTCGGAACACTGGAGCGAGCAATAAAGTTTATGTGCTCCTCAGTCATTTTCTGCTGTTCGTAGCTTTTTCCTGTTGGGTGGCGCGATAGCTAATCAGCCGGATTGTTAGCTCCTGGCTTGTATCTTACTTGAAAAGCATAAGGTTGTAAGCGTAACACCCAACGTTCTATTCTTGCCGAAGTTTTGGAGTTTCTGTTGCCATAGATTACTTCTAGTGGTTTATGGTCTGTGATTAGAACGAACTCGTTTCCGTACAGGTATAGATGAAAATGTTCCACTATCCAAATAATAGCCAGCGCCTCTCTCTCGGTTTGGGAGTATCTTTGTTCGACTTCTGTTAATGCTCTACTCGCATATGCCACTACTTTCTCGTCGTCTTTTCCTTTGTTTCTCTGCGAAAGGATTGCTGATATGCCGACTGGACTCGCATCAACCGTTACCAGTGTCTCTTTATTTTTGTCAAAATATGCCATGCACGATGCTGACGCTAAGGTGGAAGTTAACGTGTTGTACGCGTTCTGATGAATGTCGGTCCACACGAAAGGTGTATTTTTCTTCGTTAATTGGCGCAATGGAGCTGTAATGGTTGCAAATTTCGGAATATACTTGGCACTGTAGTTTGCCATGCCGAGGAGACTTCTTACTTCAGAAATAGTTTTGGGTACCGGCGCGTTCTTTAAAGCTTCTACACGTTTGGGGTCAGGTTTGCTGCCGTCTTTGGAAAATATTTGTCCGAAAAATTCCAGTTTGTCATTCAAGAAGCTACACTTAGCTTGATTCAAGCGTAGTCCTTTGTCGGAGATTCGTTTTAGACATTTATTCAAGTTTGTGTTATGTTCTTTCTGTGTTTTGCCATGTACTAAAATGTCATCAGCTATATTCTTTACTCCGACTAATCCTTGCAATTGGGTTTGTAAAGTGTACTGGAAAATCTCAGCAGCTGCATTGGTGCCATAGTTCAGCCTGTATCTGAAAAGACCGATGTGTGTACTGAATGTAGTAATGTAACGACTGTCCTCGTGTAGTTCTAGCTGATGACACGCCTGTGTAAGGTCTAATTTGGAAAAACACGTTGCTCCATTTAACTCAAAACTGATGTCCTCAACTGTTGGAATAGGGTGTCGTACCCGTTTTATAGCTTCGTTGGCAGCGCGCATATCGACGCATATACGAACGTCCCCGTTCTTTTTCGGTACTGCTACAATTGGCGATACCCAAGGTGTAGGTTGGTTTTCTGGTACCCGTTCAATAATATCGTCTTTCTCTAGTTGTTCTATCGCGTTCTGGACTTTCTGACGTATGTGATAGGGAATTCGGCGTTGTGGCTGTGCTCAGGGTGTTGTTGTTTTATCAACGTTTAATTTGATTTTCTCTTGCTTGAGTTTACCCAACCCGTGGAAAACTTTTGAATGTTTGTTTAGAATATTTTGGAGTTCACGATCTTTTGTTTCAGTTACTTTGTTAAGATGAAAACTTACCAGGCCAAGTTCCTCTGCCGTTGTTGCTGATATTAGATTTCTGCTGTCTGTCGTTTCTGCGACGTAAAAAGTTGCCACTGCAACTCGACGGCGAGTCTCAATAGCTTCCTCAAACTTGCCAATGAACTTTACTGGCTTGCTAGCAGTATACGCAAACGCTTTTATGTTCGTTTTCTTTAATTCTATTCCTGGTATTTTCTCATATGTACCTCGGTCGATGACATTGATCGTTGCGCCTGTGTCTACGGTAGCTTTTAACGATCGTCCGCATACTTTAACATTGACTTTGGGGGTCTTGTCATTAGAAACTGTGTATAAATATTCGTTGTCAGAACTGTCCGTCTCGCTCTGAACTTCATTTAGTGGATTTAGTGGTCGTTTGTATTTCTGTTTCGGTTTCATTTCATGTTGAAAAGCTTTTGTCTGACGTTGCATCTTTCCTCGACACACTCGAGCAAAATGGTTGAGCTTTTGACATTTCCGACATTCTTTACCTTTAGCTGGGCATTGTCCTTCGTGAGGATACGTACCACCGCAATTGCATGTGACACGTTTTCGATGTTGTTTTCGATGATACTTTGTTAACACGATCTGTATTTGTGTCTTTTGATTCGATGTCTCGCGCTTGAAATGTACTCATCTCGGCACGGCGACCATCGATGAGTATAGACTTCAGATCGTATGTTGGGTCTCTTAATGCCTTTTTCCGAATCCGTGAAGATGACCCAGCCGTAATAATTTGTTGTTCGATTTCAAAATCTGCGTTGTGGAAAGAGCAAGTCTGTGCTAACGTCCGTAATCGTGTATGGAATTGATCAAGGGTTTCGTTCGGTTCTTGTTTCGCTTGTCTAAAGCGGTAAACTGCGTATCGGCGATTTTCTTGCGGTTGGAAGTATTCGTGAAGCTTTGTTTTCGCGGCTTCGTAATCAGTTGCGTCTCCCGTATCAGGTATTTGTCTAAATATCTCGCGAACCCGTTTGCCAGCTTGATATAATAGCAATGCGCGTTTTCTTTTCTCATCCGTAATCCCACTAGCGAGGATGAACATCTCGAAATCTTGGATCCAAATGTTCCAGCGCCGCAGCGCGTGCCTAAGCTTTCGCCAACATCAGCGTCTGGATTAAACTCTGGCAATGGTTGTAGCGAAACCGATTGCGTATTTACTGTGATATTTTCTTGTGGCTCGGCTTGTCCTTCAGCCATTCTCGTCGCCAATATAATGATCTCACTCCTTGCTCCGATTTGTATAACTGTATACTTTGTTTCTCTATATTATACAACCTCGTACCCAGGGTCTTCTGTGTTCACGGGGCGCGGAACTACGCGACGAAGACCCTGGTCGGGGCTGATGACGTCACCCCCAGATTTTGGGGGTAAACGTACAATTTTACCATGGGTCGGGAGGTAAAGTAACATGCTTGTCACTTTAGGAAATTTCCAAATATTTTATGTTTTGTTTTCAATAAAAAGCTATTTATATTGCGCCAAAATATGGAGTAAAAAGTCGCAAGAGTTCACAGGAAAGCATCATGTATTATGTATCGAGTCTCATATTGCATACCATGCGTCGAATAAAGCTCGAATTTCAAAGAGCACGCTCTATGGGCGGCCGTTACCACCAAAAATGTTACACGTGTGAAATGAATGGACATAAACAGAAATCATTCATAACAAACACGAATGATTCAATGTGTTTAGAAATGCTTGAACATATTGTAGTAATATGACTGGACAAAACAAGAAATGACTCGTTCAAAGTTGAAACGATTCACTTCACTGTGTATTAATTCGGCTATTATTGAACTGATTCGTATGGACCAAGTGAAATGACTTGATGTATTTTGCAGTGACGCAACAAGTCGTATAAGAGTGACCCAGTAAGCTGTCAAATAATTCATGCTTTTTTACAGCCATCCGATGTGTTTTAAAATAGCTCAACTAAATTCGACACCATTCAACCAGATGAGACGCGATTCGATCTAATATGCGACAATGTAACTCAATGTGAAACGGCCCAGTTAAAGGCGGCGTCGTTCAGCTAGATGTGAACAGATTCAAAATCATGTGAAATCACTCAAATAAATGTGAAATCACTCAACAAGATGTGAAATGGCTTCACCAAAGGTGGAACGATTCGCGTCCAAGTGAAATGACACGGCATATTTTGATTTGACGTAACTTGTGCGTTCTTGACACGTCTTGTTGTAAGTTGATTCATCATGTTGTGAAGTGAATCAACAAGATGCTTCCATCTTGTTATTTATACTTCCTTGAAAGAAATTTTACGGAAATAAAATCAAAATATGGAAATTTGCCGCATGTTTATTGAAATGAGATATCGTTCAAAGTCCTTTCCGCAACTCACACTTCGACGTTCGCACACCGTTATTTTGTATCGCGACATTTTCCAAGCTTTTTTGCATTTTGTTGGCAAATATTTTTCCCCTGGAAGATCTCAGTATAAAGGTATGTGTTCAAAGATTTATACTCTGTTCTTGAACAATATCTCCTTGTTATTTAGAGTAAATTATTTTAATATAGGAATTATCTGCGTCAACATACATGACATACATAGTGTTGTAACATTTTATAAAGAATTGTTTAACATTGATATAACATTTGAAAATACTAATCTATTCAAAAATCTTAAAAGCTTAATTAATGTCATGGGCAGGCAACATGGCAAAATTTTTAAATGTATTATATACAGGAGGATCCCCTCCCTCCCCTTTGTATGGAAAAGAATAAGGATGTCACATAACTCACATTAACATTAGATTCCATCTATTTCTATTCCATACCCAATGTGCATACTATATGCTACATTTTTTCAGGGGAGGGGGCAATCACTGATGAATAGTTTTTTCCTTTAGGTCAATTTAATATAGATACATTATGGATTCATTTACAGCAGAACTAATTAATGCTATCAAGGATGTCATTACCATGTTAAGTGAAAGCACGAGTTATGATGATCGTGAGCTGTGTGCAATGCAAGTACTGGGCTTCCATCCAGAGTTAGAGGGGATATGGGTGTGGAAAACCGTGATGTTGCTCATTACATGTTGAGCCATCCAGCAAGAGGACCATCTCGTGGGAGTTATATTACTGGCCGCAGTGTTCACAATTCAAGGATTGAGCGATTGTGGAGAGATGTATATCAAACCGTTCTATCCATGTTCTACGACCTGTTCACACTTATGGAAACGGACGGAATCCTTGATCCCGATAATGAACGCCACCTCTTTTGCCTTCATGAAGTTTATAAGCCTGTCATCAATGATATGCTTACAAAATTTTCAAACGCTTGGATACATCACAAGATGCGCACAGCTGAAAATAAAAGTCCTCTTCAACAATTTATTATGGGCATGCAACAAATACAACACGAGAATGGTACTATTGCCAACGAATATTTTGAAAATCTTTCTGAGGTAAGTTATTCTTGTCGCTATGCAAATTTGCCGCCTTTTTCGAAATAGAGTAATACATACAATTCCATATAAGGCACCATGAAAAAAGATTTTGTGCAGAAGTCAGAACCTTACTAAAATTGATCATGTTCTCTAGATGAAAAGGGCTGCAAACTCTGTTCGCTGGGTAAAAAAGGCATATATAATTATGCAATTTGAATTTGCTCACTTCCTAATATATAAGTCTTATCTATTAGGAATCAATCTACTTAGTTTCGAATTTGGTTTACTTTTTCATTTCTCCAGACCGAATTAAATACTTATGGTGTGGACGTACAGGCAGGTTTACCACAGTACAATGATGACGACGGAGTAGTAGTGCCGGACACTACAAATCCACTGGATGAAACAGCTTTTGCTGATTTTTTACACAGAGTGTCAACAGTAGAGCGCACAGACCCATGGGACACTGAACCGTACCTATATGCGTTGCAAACACTTGACAATTTACTACCCGAGGAATCGCAGTAGTATTTAATAACTGAAAAGTGGGAGTGAGTCTCAACTGCATGATATTCCACAAATTGTGCATATACCACAAAACAACAAATGTAAATATCATGTAACCTACATGATAAATGTCAATACAAATACAAATGTCCCCTTTTTTTAGAATTAAAATAATTTCGGGATAATATTGAAACATGTATTAAGCGGTATTACTTCTCATAAGCTTGCCATTCCAAAATGGGTATTGCTGAAAGCTAAATCAAATTTTTGGAACATTTCATCTTGACTTTCAGGAAGAATTTCACCAATAGCCAGCCGTAAAAGGTTGATGCATGTGTTGGAGGTTGGTAGGCACGAACGCGTGCCGTCACTAAAACACAAAGCAGGCTGGATTGCAAAACCCAGAACAGGCTCATCCTCTGAACCAGTGGCGAATCTTAAGACATCGCCTAGCGATACATTTTCTCGCCTCCCAGCTAAAGGATTAAATAAAAAGTGTTATATAGGTAAAAAGTTAATTAGATAAAACGTGCAGAACGAAAGAAAATATGAACATACCAGCAACCTCTTTGACGTAATTCAAAAAAAGCCTGTATGCCCTGTTCTCTTTCATCCTCTTGTTGGAACCCTGCTCTGAAAATTTTGGCGCCAAAATCTTTACGATTCTCGGATACGTCAACGGATGGTATGCTGTTCTTCGTAATAGGAAGAGCATCGATGGTCTTTCCTTGATGAGCTGAAAATAAAAATATATTAAAATTAAATAGAATTTTTATGATTATGAAAGTAACGGGTACACATAAATCATAAATACACTTCTTTTAATTGTTTCTGTACTCAGTGTTCTATGGCAGTATAACAAATGTAATTACCTCTACTAATCCAAATTTCGAAAAGCCGTTGCGAAGTTGTTCTTCGGCGTCGTTCAGTTGTTCTGCATGAACACCAAAAAGTTTGGTCAGTAATTCTTCGTGCATAAAACACGGTAGCGGTCCGCCTTGTAACATGCTGTAACCTTAAATGAACAGAGTCAGGGTTAACAAAGACATTAACTTGAACGTAGTTGTAAGTTGCAGTTTAATAATAATAAGTTCTCTTACCAAATACAAGACCAGCTCCAAAGAAGTATCTGCGAGTCTCGGCGACAACATCTTGGCGTAAGGTATAGGTATCGCCGCCAACCACAAATAAATGGTCTTTTATCTCGCGGGTCATTGCACCTAGGAACTCTTTCCGAGGACCACCTAGATCCTGTGCGCACTCGCCAGTAAACGTGACTTCTAAAGGAAGACTAGGATCGCTCACACCAAGTCCACCCAACAACTCGTCCATGCCATCTTCGTAAATGTTTTCCCGCGTAACGAAAACATCTGTTGTTTCACCTTCAAGTTGCACCGTTGGGTCCATAACATCGAGGGGACGACCCCGCAGAAAGTGGCAAGAGAAGGTTCGCAGAACTTGGACAGGGTCATCATTTGCAGTTCTGCAATAATATTATAAAAAAATTCCGCTCATAAAAATATCGTTCATTGATGATTACAAGCAAGCTTTGCAATAATACGTACGTTGCTTTTAGTGTTGCGTCGATGGCGTTTCGTAGGTGTTCTTCGTATGGCAGAGCCATAGGATCTACTTCCACGCTAAGAACAGAATTAAAAATGTTTAAATATGAAAGAAATATATATTGGTTTTGATTGCATCGGTGTGGATATTGATTCCGTGTATCATTGAAATTTTCTATTTGGGTAATACCTGTTTTCAAGTTCAGCGCGATTGCTGTCCTCGATTTCCAACGTTTCATTTGGTTGAGGAACTGGTGCTAATGAATCCAGGTCACTGTCTCTCGCGTCAGTATTAGAGACTAATTGTGTCGGGGCGATCTGTTCGTTTAGCGGCAAAGAGGTTGTATTTGAAATTAACGTGTCATCATCCGTAACTTGAACGACGTCGTTTCTAAAGATAAATTCAAGAACAAATGAGATGGTGTACCACCTGTAGCCAAATACCGTATAAAGCATGATTTTTTAAAAATGAAGTTCCATTACTATTGCTTTAATTGAATTTCCAATGTTTTATTGTAAACAGTTCGTACACATAGAGTTGCAAACTATAGTCTTATTAGGTTTTAACATGCTATGAAGAATTGATACCTTTCACTGTTAATTCCATATCGGCTATTCTCGTCTCCCTCTTCAGTTTCATGCTCATTTGCAGAATGATAATGCTGTCGAAATTGTTAAATAGTTTGTTAAACAAAAACATGTTTGTCATTTTCCTTCGGCCGATGTAATTTGTCTTAGCATTTACAATGGGAGCGGTGGATTATCTGAAATATCTAAACTTACCTCGCAAGCTTGTAGATGCTCACTCATTTCACTAACTGAAACGCTTTCACCGCATGATAAGCATATTTCTTTTTCTTCATGAAAACGCACAGTTTCCGTCAAAGGAATACTTCTTTGAAGCGGTCGTATGTATATTCGGCCATTGCCAAAGCATCTCAGTTGCTCCGTACTGCATGAGCCATGCGAAACTACTTTCAACTTCTTTCTTTCCTTTTCCTGACTCACCAAAATTTGAAAGCCACCAGAAAAGCGCAACGGAGGATAAGCCCTATTATAGGATGCAGCATCTGCACAACCTGCATTAATGCATTTACTGTGTCCACATTATTACTCTAAAAAATAAAAAAAATCTTTAAAATAAAATTTTGGTGACACCATAATGTACAATTGTATAATTTTGAGAATATTCAAGCAATTAACATAATTTTAAATGAATATTGAATGTAATATTCCCACCATTGTTGCATACACTTTAAGGATTTTACCAACAGCTGAAACGTAACACAAAGTTGAAATTATTTCATTATCATCTGCTAGGGAGCCTAAACAGGGCCGGATTAACATCGCGCGAGTCCCGTGGCAGGTTTTTGGCGCGGGCCCCCATCCCCTGGTATGAAAACTTTTAAATTCAAAGACACACAAATTTGGTAATTGTTTTTTGTTTTATCTGTTATTCATTTTTTGGATGTAATTACGTCTTAGGAATTGTTTAATGCATTCTTGAGTGTAAAAGAAGTAAATCAGAAGTAACACTGTAGCTGCAACATGATACAGGAGACAATGGTCCGATACAGGACCAGGTCGGCAACACGTGTAAACAGGATCATATAACAGCGCAACAAGAGATTAAATACTAACGGGGATCTATATTTTCCTGGGTTAACTAAAGAGTGTAGGAGCCCTGAATGCGTTAGTCATGAAGACCCTAAATGCGCGAGTACCTTAAGTGCGCAAAGGATATAAAATGGGTGTGTTTTCGTTAAAACGAGCTCGGCACAGTAAAGCGCGATGCCCCCATAAGCGCGAGGCCCGCGGCATATTCCGCATCTGCCACATGGTTAACCCGGCTAGCCCTGTCAGCCTAAATACAATTATTTCAAATGTTACATGGAAAAATCAGTGACAATTCTTTAACGTATAACTTATATTTTTAAGCCATATTTTCCGGCCATATTTTCCCGAATAAACAATTCGCACTTTCTTTCTCCTGAAAGCGCAAACGCACACATGGCCCTTTGCCCTTTACCCGGCCGTTTTCTATAAATAATTTACTCTAAATAACAAGGAGATATTGTTCAAGAACAGAGTATAAATCTTTGAAACATACCTTTATACTGAGATCTTCCAGGGGAAAAATATTTGCCAACAAAATGCAAAAAAGCTTGGAAAATGTCGCGATACAAAATAACGGTGTGCGAACGTCGAAGTGTGAGTTGCGGAAAGGACTTTGAACGATATCTCATTTCAATAAACATGCGGCAAATTTCCATATTTTGATTTTATTTCCGTAAAATTTCTTTCAAGGAAGTATAAATAACAAGATGGAAGCATCTTGTTGATTCACTTCACAACATGATGAATCAACTTACAACAAGACGTGTCAAGAACGCACAAGTTACGTCAAATCAAAATATGCCGTGTCATTTCACTTGGACGCGAATCGTTCCACCTTTGGTGAAGCCATTTCACATCTTGTTGAGTGATTTCACATTTATTTGAGTGATTTCACATGATTTTGAATCTGTTCACATCTAGCTGAACGACGCCGCCTTTAACTGGGCCGTTTCACATTGAGTTACATTGTCGCATATTAGATCGAATCGCGTCTCATCTGGTTGAATGGTGTCGAATTTAGTTGAGCTATTTTAAAACACATCGGATGGCTGTAAAAAAGCATGAATTATTTGACAGCTTACTGGGTCACTCTTATACGACTTGTTGCGTCACTGCAAAATACATCAAGTCATTTCACTTGGTCCATACGAATCAGTTCAATAATAGCCGAATTAATACACAGTGAAGTGAATCGTTTCAACTTTGAACGAGTCATTTCTTGTTTTGTCCAGTCATATTACTACAATATGTTCAAGCATTTCTAAACACATTGAATCATTCGTGTTTGTTATGAATGATTTCTGTTTATGTCCATTCATTTCACACGTGTAACATTTTTGGTGGTAACGGCCGCCCATAACGCTCGAAACCGCTCAGTTTAATCGAGTCGATGGCTAGCAAAGACACGCCGAAAAAATTTTACAAGAAACAAACCGATTCGACTGGTAGTATTTCTCGCTGTAGACTGTGTAACTCTGTTACTAACCCGAAACACTGCAGGAATTTGTTTCGTTCTCAAAATCAGGCGGTTCTACGCAACGCCGAGCGTATTTATGGTGGTAAATTGCCACAAAACGATAGCCTTCCTCACCTAATTTGCGCGCCTTGTGATCGGAGACTAACCAACGCGATAAAGTTCAAGACCGTTATCGAGGAAACTCAGCGCGTGTTACAAGAATCTATCCGAGCAAAACGTTGTGTTGATGTATCGCCTTCGGTCAATAAACCGCCTGCTAAAGTTCATTTAGTTGGAACTCCGCGACGTCGCAGCATCGACTTTAACATCAGCCAAGGTGAATCAGAGTCGAGTCTCACTTCATCGCCACCACCTTTAACTGTAAGTTTACTTTCATGAAATATACATGTATTAATAATAGTCAATATTAGTATTTATTGTTGAATATTTAGCGCTGTAATAATATTTAAAAAACATTAATATTCATGATGACTTAGGATGCCACATGCGTGGCCACATGTTATATCGTTATACTCATGTTTTCCTGTTCCTCCCTTCCTCTATAATAAATCCTGTATTTATAATACTGTGTGTTTATATACTAATCAAAACAACACGCTGAACGTCCCAGCTTTAAAACGTCTTGCCTATTCGGAACTTGTTTATTTTGCTTTATTATTAAATACACGCAGTATAATACACACAGTATACAGGTCATGACCTTGCAACCTGCATCTGCATGTCAAAGCCTACACGGCCAAAAATTGATCAAGTTGTTGCATCAGGGGTGAACAATGTTGTGCTGCACCCAATAAACAGTATTGTTAACAATGTTGTTGAACCTTGTTGAATCATCAGTGTTGATGCAATATTGTTGTAACAAGCTGCAACAGCATTGATAGTTCAACAAGTTTCAACAACATTGTTAACAATACTGTTTGCAGGGTGCAGCACAACATTGTTCACTCCTGTTTTTAACAACTAGCATCAACATGATGATTTTTACACATGTAGATCACAGGCCTAAATACTTATTTAACAGTAAATTTGAAAAGCTGGGAAGAAATCTCATATTTAAATATTATTATTATATTAAAGAGTGATGATCAAATCTTAGCTGTGGCAAACAAAGAACTGATTCATGTTGCCAGAAGGAGTCAGCCATCTGTCCTTAGACAAAGAGGCTTTGATGGAATGTCTGCAGACACCTGGATGTCAGAGGTGCTAGGAGAGTTGTCAACAAGATGTCCAACTGTGAACAACATCCTATGTACTCTGTTGGAAAGCTCCCTATATCCTGCAAAGAAGAATCCTGCTATCTGCCTTATTTATGGCATTATTAACTTCCTGCGGTGCCATGAATCAAGCAGAATTCAACGCATTAATTCAGTTTTGCTAATAGAAGGCCAGGCATCTGTAAATGTGAGTTGTTTTACTTATTTGCCATTGTTTTTACAAATTGCAACCAACTATTTTGTTTTACTGCCTGATGCTTGCAGCTAGCCTATACCTTTGCTACATAATAAATACACTAATGTGCATTAGTGACTAACATGTCATATGTGGTAATTTTAAATTGTATTACTCTCCTTGACATGACTTTGTATTTGCAATGCATTAGACAGGTTCTAACGTAGGACAAAGGAAAAGGTAGGGGAGATGACATATTGAGCATTGTTCATTGTATCATTTAGCTGATTGCCTGTCTACATAAATATGGATTATGCCTGGAGCCGAAAATGAAATACCCAATTCTGGAAGACATTGGCAAGCACTTCATCGACCGAGCAGCAGAATTAGTTAAGAGTGGACTTTCCTTTGTTTATGTTTTGGACAATATTGATTGGGAAGAGAAAGCCCATGATATGAGGCAGGATGTCCAAAACCGAAGTGTTCATGCTGTGGCAACAAGTATTGTGTTCAACCGGGTTCCTGATAAGAGATTGCCTGATTCTGGTCCACAGCAATTTCTGAAAGATTGCGATGTCCATCAACTTGTGGAAATCAATCAACTGGAATCTGATGCAATTCGGAACCGGTACAAAATACTTGTTGCCAACATTTTGTTTGATCAGTTCCCTGCTTTTGCAATGTTCAGAGACTATATACCTGCGAGAACTAACTGTGAGTATGAAAAGGAGATGGCAAGAAAGTCAGAAGTCTTAACAATGCCTGTAGTGATGAAAGACGAAAAAAAGTATTCTGACTGTGTTGATGTCTTGGATCAACTTGAAAAGTGGACACACGAGATCTATGCAGCAGCTGGACTATGTTCCCTAGACCCTGATACATTGGAAGATGTTACTCCCACAATTGGAACCACATCCAGGCCTGACCAACCTGCTTCTCATGTCCCACCAGTTCATTCTAACAGCGATCCATTGCATGGGGTGAAAATCCCATGTTTTGGTGATCAACTCACAAGGGTTCGATTTGCTGGGGCAAAAGATCTAAGAGCTGGGTGCCATTCCGCAAGGCAGAGGTTGGACCATTTATACCCTTTCTGCATTGTCGACTGGCATACAAAGAGAAGTTTTTTGAAGGTACAGTATGCTTACTAATTTATAGTTGTACTTCTTCTGGGACAAAGATAATATTGTTAAAAAATCATAAATTGTTCATGTAAATTGAGTACAAAGAGTGTATTTGTATCAACAGTAGCTATTCTAGTACTGCAGACTCTCTGATGTGATGCTGTGTCTGTATTGATTTTAGCCAATCCTATTTCAAAGAAGGCTAGAGGTTGTAAAATGTTCCTAAACAGTATCATAAGTTTTTATGAATAAGTTTTTTACTTCTTTGGTAGACTTGTTACAACCTCTAGCCTCTGCAATATCCTATATTGCTAACATTTTATGGTACCCTATTGAAATGAGGTTTAGTTCCAAAAATATAAAACAAGGTTATTTTATTTCTTCAGACAATTTTCAAAAAGCTGTACAAGAATTCAGGAAGAGAAAGGGGAACACTTCGCTTTTTTAGAGAGAAGTTAAATCGCAGAAATGTGACGGTTGACGTTAAACACTATGAGGACTGTGAGCAGCTGTTCTTCAGTGTTGGTAAGTGCTTTGTTATCGAAGCCCTATTGGAATTTTTCCAAATGGATGATGCAAAGTGCAAACCAACAGTGAACGGTCCTCATAGTGTTTACGTCTTAGAAGAAAGCTACATGAAGACATACATCAATGAAACTCTGGACAAGTTTCTCGATGAATATATTTTCCATGGGGAAATTGAGGTGACCGATGGTGTTTGGTGCTATGGTGTCAACATTCTTAAATCTTTCATGTTGCTTGCTGATTTCAAGAATGCTGTTTCCTCTGGCAATGGTGAATACATTTCAATCCTTAGGAAGCAGCTGTTGACCCATTTCTTTGCAACACCTGGATTTAATGAATTTGCCATTGAAATGTTGATCAACATCTTCCAGGGTGAGGTGTTATTGTCGGAAGCTGAGGCTCATCGCTGCAAATGGGCTGCCACAGTTAACTGGAGAGGTGGCATTGGTCGCAACATTGAGATTGATCTCTTTCAGGAGAATAGAAACTGCGAGATGAAGAAGTTGATCAGGTCAATGGGTGCCAACAAGACAGAGAGAGCAATTGAGAGAGCAAGTAAAGCATCTGGAGGTGTTGCGAAGATTGTTGAAGCATTTGAAGAGCAGGTGAATATTTCCAAAAAATCAGGATCCCACACCCACAAATCATCCACTGAGGATGAGAAAGTTATTAGTAGGGACTTGAGAGGCTTAAGGCCTTTTAAGGAAGAAGATGGTCGATCATTTGAGAGCTTTGATGGCATCTCACATGATCCAACCCATTCATTGGATGAAATTAAATTTAAGGAATGGATTGATCGCCACAAGAAAAACATTGCAATGCATTATCCAGTTGAACAATCTAGTCAGGATGAGTGAACTGCTTGAAAGAGAATTGTTTCAAATTAGAATGTTTGTTTAACCCATGACTGGTGAAGTGCCCTGTGACCATTTATTAATTCACTATATATATATATATATATATATATATATATATATATATATATATATACCGTACGTCCTGTGTCCCAAGTGCAGGAGTCACCATTGAAATCCCATGCAAATGTAATCTTATGCAATTCTAATTAGACTTTGAGAATCTATCTATCTATCTGCGGCCAACATTTTGCAAATGGGTGTATATATATATATATATATATATATATATTATATATATTAATATATATATATATATATATATTAGTTATGCCAATTAAGCTTCTAGCAATGGCGATGCCTAATGCTTAATCTAACTGACAACAAATCTTACCAGTTTATGGGTAGCACTTTATGAGAGAAGTATGCTGGGTTTTTATTGGCTTTTCTTTGCATGAGAACTAGTTTTAAAACCATTAAACCGTTATGTTGTTTGTGAAGTGCGCATGAACTTTAATTAACAAATATGTACAAGATAATGTAATAGAAGTACCATGATAATTTTTGTATATATTCTTTGTATATAATTCATATAGGTCAAAAGTGCAAAGTATATGGTACTAGAAAACTATTGTTTCATATTCAACTATGATTCAGTAAACACATTAATTGCAATCTCAATTTAAAATTTGTGCAAATTTTGTCTGCTTAACTAAGATTATATTACATTGAAAGAATGCATGATCAGTTACATGAACACTTTTATCATAAGGTTTCGACACTGTGATTTTCTATTCCATGTGCACTGTTTATTGAATTTGCTGTACAACATAAATTTTATTGAAGCTTACAGTTTCTCCATAAGAAGGTGTTTACAAGCAAGTTGAACACTTGCAAAGATTTTCACATACACAACAACACAAGTGTAATGGTTTATGGACTGTATCTAATTCGTAATCCAGTGATTTTAATAATAACTTTCTTAAGCATAAGTCAGTGCTTGAGCAAAAATCACGCATGTCGTCTTGCATTCCAACTCTGTTTTTGCCAATATCCCTGTTGTTGTAATACAATACAGCAAATGATGACCTCCCATCCCTACCAGCACGTCCAGTTTCTTGAAAGTATTCTTTCACAGTGCAGGGGGGTCCAACATGCACAACCTGGCGGATGTCAGGTATGTCCACCCCCATCCCAATTGCTACGGTAGCAAAGACTACGCGAACTGTACTTTTTCCAGAACAGAGCTGCCTCAGGATTTCTTCTTTCATTTGATTAGTCTGTGGAGAATGATACTGTGCAAATAGCCTATTCGCTGGAATTGCAGTTGCACCAGAGGGAAAGTATTGCTCGATTCCAAGAACATGTTCAAACAGCTTATATGCAAAGCCGCACAAACGTAATGAAATGTATATAATAGTTAGAGGGTATGCAATCTTTTGCTGCAAAAGATCACTTGCAATTGGCATCAGGATTGATTCAATGGTGTCAACATCATGCCCGGTTCGAAATACTTTCTTATAGTAAATATTTTTCCTATCTGGATTGCCGATGACATTCTTACATTTCTTTAACCCCAAAGAATCTTTAATACACTTGACGTCTGCATGAGAAGCAGTGGCAGTCATTGCAATGACAGGTACGTGAGGAAATAAGGCACATAAGACACCCAACCTTCTGTAGTCCTGTCTGAAGTCACTCCCCCTAAAAAATGTAAATCAAAATACATAGTGTTAAGTATTGAGTAGTAACAAAGTAAAAGAATAATTTTAGATAAAGACAACAGGTTTAAACAGAATTGAACTTTTTGAATTGTTTACTAACCAGTCAACTATGCAATGAGCTTCATCAATCACAACTGCCACAACATTCTCTTGATATGGCTTGCTCAAAAGTAAATTACGCCCATATTTGCTCGAGATTAGTGTCTCTGGATGGGCGAAAACAATTTGATAGTAACCATCGCATAGCTTTTCCTCTTCGCAATGGCTTAAATCGATTTCAGCGCTAGTTTCTAAGTCATCACTATCCTCTGAACCATACGTTATTTGACCTTCTCTTGCTTCCTTCACGTTTATAATCGACGATCTAATGCCGCTCATGCTCAGGCGAGATACTTGATCACTCATTAAAGAGTTCAATGGCGACACAACGATAACAATTGAGTTCACTACTGTCGCAGAAAGGCCTCGTGATCTCCATGAAAAACGCAAATCGCCAAGCAACTTGAATTTGGCGAACAACAACATTGGCAGCAGATGAAAAATCAAAGACTTCCCATAGCCCGTTGGTAAAACACACATCACATCTTTTTCAAGATAGACGTTCTCCAGACAAATAATTTGTTTTGGTTTTAGAATAGTGTTTTGGTATACACTATTTAAAAGAGCAAATTCCAAGCAAGATAAAAATGCGATGTAGTCTAACATGGCGGAAACCGGAATGAAAGCATGAAAAGTGGAAGCATGTAATATGATATCTTTTCTTACACCCCCTGAGGCGATAGATTCCCATGCTGTGACGTCATCAGCCCCGACCAGGGTCTTCGTCGCGTAGTTCCGCGCCCCGTGAACACAGAAGACCCTGGGTACGAGGTTGTATATTATATATATTACTTTTCATGTGCTCTTACATTTTCTCGCTCTCATACACTTTCTATCTTATTACTCCGGCGTCAGCGACGGAGTTGAAAATTCGCCCCGGTTTTGTTTTGTTTTTGTTTTTTTTTTTTTATTTTTTTTTTTTTTTATTATTTTTCGTCGTCGCAAGTCTGTAATGGCGCGAAATATACTAGTATTTAAAATGTGTATGTGACCGTATTTATCTACGTCCCAGTCTTATCTCCCAAGAGTTGTGGTGCACAGCTTTGGCTAATTTTCCAATGCGCGATTCGATTTCGCTCGCATGATATGGCAATTCCTCCAAGAGGAACAAATAAACCGTTCTTTTCATGCTGTTCGATTAAGTTTAGATTGAATTGGGGTAAGAATATATTTAATACATGTAGACTCGGTCCTATTTTAATAATATCGCTGCTATTTCGCCGTTTAACAAGATGATGTGGTCGTGTATGGGCGCGTTGACACGTCGCGTAGTTTGCACAGGATCGAAGATTTAATACAACTATATAAGCGCGAATTCCAAAGGCAAAGTGTAAGACGAAGCGAATGTATCATGCGGTTTATTTACATTTTTGAACAATTGAACTTCTATACTGCGATGTGCTTCTGAATTTCGCGATCGAACATTTAGGTTCGCAAGGCATCTAAATGCGAATATGTATGCGAAACAATACGCGAGCTGTATTGTTTATGTTCAGAAGCTCTATATTGAAGACTGGCACGTGCGCCGGAGTTAACGCCAGAACGGCGTCTTGTTGTCTGTATGTCTCTAACTGTCAATCAGTTCTAATTCTATTGTCCAAGCTTAATTATCTATAAATAGCAGTTATGTATATTACAATGACAAAACTGTGAAGACCGGGTTTTCCGATTTCTAACTTCTCCGTAATCATTCAAAATTTTATCTTGAGATCATTGTAAGGAACACTTTGGTTAATAGAACAATTCCATCCTGGTTGAACATGAAATAAAATCGAGGTTAGTATTTGATATATATTGTGTTAATTGTTTTGGTCGCGAGTCACATTCCATAAGACAGGATATCAAATAGCTTGGAATTCCCTGAAGGCTGTACAACATTCGTAGTAATTCGTTTCGAAATTATTAGACTGTAAATAAAGACTAACCCTTCAATTAAAAACTGTGTCTTTCGAGGAACACTTTGGTAATAGAGCAATAATATCCTGTGTTGTACAAAACGAGGTTTGTATTTGAATTTGATATTTTGTGTTTATTGTTTTGATCACGAGTCTCAATTGACTCATTGCTTGATTGTATATACACTGATATGTGTGTGGCTGGCTGCGATCAGCGAAGAAGATTTTGCAGTTTATCTTTCCCCGGTGCCCGTGTATATATTTCAAAAGATTGTTGATTCGTCAAAATTTACTCTTACGAATCATTCGCTGAGCGATGATTTTCTAGCCTGCATGCGGTGTAGACGCTTCGAATTACAATTAAGGACACAAGCATAAGCATCTGTGCATTGGAGCGCCGATCCTTGTTCAGTCACGTTAGTATTCCCAAAAGAATGGGATTCGTATGTGACTGCTTGTGATTCGCTGTTAATTTATGAACAAATTGTAATTATTACTCGTGCTCTGGGGGAGTCTAGGTTTCGTCGTGTGAGGGCGCGTTTTGGACCTCGATGACCCAGTAAGGCATTGCGCAGTTGTATCGAAATCAGAAATCTCGCAACATGGGCACTGCTGCAAGGAGTGACGATACCTGACAATACAAGCCACATTTTACAAACAATATACGAAAGATAAAAAATATATATGCACAGAACACATTACTACGGTGCAACGTTTACATATTGTTTGGTGCGATGTTTACTATTAAATTCCGGCTATATGAAAGCAAGATTTATCATCGATGTTTTGGCAGGCCAGGCTTAGACGTTCAAATGTTTATAAATGATACTTAAATACCTGGGACGGGTTGTGTAACACTCTTAACTACATTTAAGTAGATAAATCTTAGTTAACTAGAAAATACATTATTCTGATTGGCCAATTCAGCCACTAACTATAGTTAAACGTTAACTACCTTTTTATACAACCGGGGCATTGATATAGAGGATATTATACAGTTGCGAGAAGATATGGATTTTATGTTCGAGTGGCAAGAACAATATCTCAGGAGTGAGCGCAGCGAAAGAGTGAGATATTGTTCCTGCCACGAGAACATAAAATCCATATCTTCGAGCAAACCGTGTAATGTTCTTTTTATTATATGCATGGACTAAGTTATGAGTGAAAAAAATACACCCAAAGGCGACAAGAAAATTAGCCGCGGAAGACCATTATAAAAGCAATTTTTTTTTAATTATAACCTAAACATTAAAGTAGACTAATTTTTACTTATCTAAGGATGTCTTATGTGTTTTTGTTTGTATTTCTAACGTTAATTTCGTTTTATATACGAACCAAAGGCCATTTGTATTTTCACAACAACAAAGAAAATGGCGGGGAAAATTTTCGAAACTCGTTATGTCACCCCTAAACATGACATACGGAAAATACGCACACCTGGTCCCGGATGTAGTGACGTATGAGTTCTACGAGTGTTTTAGTTCTCATTATAATATAAGTATGATATAACGAGCAATTTGATTGGCTACCGCGCGTGCATTGTGAGGCCATAATGCACGCTCTGGCTTTGAAGTTTTTGTTGCTAAGCAACATCTTAAATAACATGTAAGGAGAATTTCATTATTGATCAAATAAATAAACTTTGTTGTTGCCCTATAATTTCTTCTTATATTATAAAAGAATTAAAAAAGCTCGTCGCGTGCCTTTATGGTGTAATAATGCACTCGGGGAAATGTTGGAAGAATACTCGAGAAGCTTGTAAAACACTCGGCTACGCCTCGTGTTTTACAAGCTTCTCTCGTATTCTCCCAACATTCCCCCATCGTGCATTATTACACCATAAAGGCACGCGACTCGTTTTTTAATTCTTAAGTAAAATACCATATAATATCATCCATATAATAAACAGTATTATCTCACGCCGTGCGGATTGTTAGGCTATACCTATAATCGCCGTACGGCATTTGTGAATTGTGATAATAATGTAAATGTATATTATTTATTTTTTGAGTATTTAGCGTTTAAAACACTTGCGTGATAATTTTTGTCTTGTAAGTTCTGAAAAAGGTTAAAACGATTTTCTTGAAAGTTTTATATTGTAAATATTTATTTGCCTTTCGCTGAGTAGTCAAATTTCATTTGTCAAATTTTTGCCATAATAGTTTATATCAAAGTGACAATCTGACAATCTTAACAAGCAGTGCACAGAGTAAAGACCCTGGAATTGCACCGATCCATGAATTTATCAGAATATCGATGACACAAGAAATGTCTATATACTAAATACCGTACCAACTGTAAATTACCATATAATATCCTCCCAGGCCTAGGTAACCACAAAGCCTTAATTTACGCTATAGGTTTCCCACAACACGACATGATTGTGTCTCACAAGTAATGCTATTGAATCTCTACAGCACGAGTGTTCGCCTAAGCCGGCGTCTTGTTTCATAATAATTTTGAATCATTGTTGTAAACATAGCGTTTATCCAGGGAGTGAAGTTACAAGGTAAATGTTTCGAAGATGCCGTAAGACAAGTTATTTTTTTCAAACCGAAAACCTTTTCGAGGATCAGGTCAAGGTCAAGATCCTTTTTTGAAGGAAATAACTTTTACTTCTGTGCGAGCACTGCATGGGTATGGAAAGTCGATCGTGTTTCGAATATCCCATTGTTTTCTGATATTCTTCTTGACCAAGTCATTGGAACTAGTATAGCGATTATAGTTTGTCCACATTATTCACATGAAGGTTAATATAACAGCATAATACATTATAGAATTAGTTATATTCACTTGTGCAAAATACAAGTAATCAGTTACTCTTTGATATGTTTGCAAATTTGAGGAACATAGTAACATATATGCATTACTTATAACCATGTAGATATTGTTATGGTTACTGGAACTGCATACAAGGGCTGTCCTACAATTTAATATTGCCGTTGTCAGAATAGTAAATGAGGGTGAAAAAACTAGAATATGAAAATATTTTTAATACACTACAGCCAGTAGTAGATAATAGCATACCATCAATCCTGCGTGCTGGATAAAAATTGTGTCGAGTAAATTGTGTACGACTGCATGTCATATATGAAGGGTTATTTTTCATGCAGATTGATTGACAAGGCCATGCACACAGCTGGCATTCAATATAACTGGGTTCTTTCCAAGCTACTTTTGCGGACGCAAGCTGCAATTAAAACACTTCTCAGCAAAGGTGTTCGCTTTTTAAGTTCTCCATCAAGTTTTGTTAAGGAGAAATTAACAATATCCTCTTAACCAGTGTTGCGTAAAATACTTTGATTCTTCCTTGAAAACATGTCCGCACACTCTCGATCTATCCCCTTCAAAAATAAAATGATGATCTTTTCTCTGATCTTTTCACAGAACCAGGCTGCCCGGGCAACTTCTGTGTATGTTCCTCTGCACAACATTTTACCCAACGATTTTAGATTTCCCCGCAAAATTCCAGACGAAGTTTTGCTTTTCCATCGCCCATTAACGGATACAGTGGTACTTGAAGCGTCAACATGTTCATGCTGCCGTCTTCGAGGCGTCGAGGTTGACTTAGGTTGAAAATATTCGACAGGAGACGAAGAACAGTGTGTGCTTTCGCCTTGACGAACAATAGGTAGAGTTACTGGGTCTTCATTTCCATCAAACGACAATGTTCGTTTGGCAGTCGCCTTTGTTTTATCCATAAGTCCCCTTTGTCCTTCTTTTTCACGGTATTGACGCAAAAGATTACTGTTGATATGAATGATATCGTCGAGCTTCTTCTTGCAGTTTTATCTTTGCTGCAGAGTTCTCAGGCACGCACTGTATATATGCTGAGAGGTTGAGTGAACGACAAAAAAAGGTCTTCAATCTCCTTACTTATTGTCGAGTGCCCACAAAATTTCGATCATAAGGTTTTGTTAAAACCGAAAACACAGAATGCACGAAGGGGAAGCAGACGCCATAAATAATCATTGCTAATTATGATATTTGCACGAATATTAATTTCTGAAAGTGTCCATGTGACTGAACAAGGATCGGCGCTCCAATGCGCAGTCGCTTATATGCGCGTGTTCCTTTGTAATTCGAAGCATCTGCACCGCAGACTACGATTTTCATGCAGAGTTTTATTTCCGCTTTGTAGTTGAAATAATCTCTAAAAAATTATTGTGTCGAAATTTTTGTAAGATCTATCATCACCTTTTGCGATAAGCATGATCAAATATATCGAAATGCCCGATGTCTTTTTGGTCAGATACCAATATACCAAAATTACCATGAAAACTATACATAATGAATTGTCCACCCCACGTGCATATATGATGCTCATCATATATACTGGTAGAAAACGTCTAGATACCGTATACTTAATAAAAACAGATAATCAGAAACGAAAACCCAGGAGGCCTGCATAGCCTTTTCAAGATACGGTCTCATTTCTGTCGTTATCTCTGATCTGATAATACGTTAAATTCGACAAATATACAGATCAACGAAGCCCGAATTTATAAGCTGCAAGCTTTTCATAGATTTTTTGAGTTAGTTGAAGTTTTTTCAAAAAGGTTCCCGTCAATTTACAATGATCAAAATGTCTTTAAATCAAATGCCTATTGATACGGCAGCGCAATGTTTCGTATAAAACAAACGACTTTAACAACTTAACGCCACCCATACCTGAAAAAAAGCCGTTCCAATGATTGATATCACAACTATGAATAGGATTTCTTGGGCAAACACCAATTCACTGGTCGAAAATTAGTTTAGAAGAATGCATTTATTTGTTGATAGACAATTCTAGTTTTTCTAATCTTTTAGTAGCAAATATGGCAAAACTCTTTTATAAAGAATTCTCGTGAAGAGTGGTTTAACTAAGTCCTATTTTGTTGAAAATGGAATATTTTCCTTCTCCTGCGCGCGTTTTTTTTAAAGGAAAAATTTTCATGAAGACCGTTCCATTTTGCTCCTTATAATATTTAGATTAAATTGTTATATATTTCTAGGAACAAGAATGTCCGGATTGCCATGGGAAACCGAGGAAAGCCAAAACTACATTCGAGCGGACTACATTGTCACTGATGCTGTAAGGAAGGAATTGAGGGATTTCTTTATTCAGAAGTGGAACAAACGTTACCAGGCATCTCTCGGAGCATGGGATGACACGAACGTCAGTGGTAGTCAGTTGTTTAATCTGGAGAAAAAACGAGCAAGGCCAAATAAGACCATGCTTCAGTCCAAATTTCAAAATGGAAATACAAATGAGTGGGATTGTACCGTACTTTTTGATGCAATTCTTTATTCCAACTCAATCGGTGGTAGTCTTAGTACAAAAGAAAAGACTGAAATCGATATTCTTCGAAAACTGCGAAATGAAATAACTCATAATATACCTGACAAAACGCTAACGAATAAAAACTTTCAAACCATGACTACAAAAGTTGAGAATGCATTGGGTGCATTGAGACTGTCAATCAACGAGGTCGTTCGAATAAAAAACCTGTTTGCATCATTTATAATTCTTCCCCCTGAACCAGCCCATGAAGTCGTTTACCGTTCTGACAAGATACACGAGATAAGAGAAGATATTGAAAAGTTGCGCAGTGATAACGATGGCAAACTTACATATTTTTACATCTCTGGGAATCCAGGCAGTGGAAAATCTCAACTCGCCAGACAAGTTTGTGAAGATATTTGCAAAGATGTTCATGTGAAGGACGAAGCAATGTTTGTAATGACATTGAACGGAAAAGATTTAGATTCTCTTTTTTATTCATATGAAGATTTTTGTCGTCGGCTGAATTGTAACGAGAGCGCATTGCAAAGTGTTTCAAGTTCATCTAAAACTAAAGAGGAGAAAATCAAAGATTTAAGATCGCAAATATCTTGCAGAATTAACAATTGGAAAAAGTGGTGGATCATCGTAGACAATGTGGAAAATCTAAAATTCATATCCCCACTACTCCCTTTAAAAGGAGACGAAGTTTGGAAGGACGGCCAAGTTATACTAACAACGCAAAACACAAATGCAGCTCCACAAGACAGCATCTCAACAAAGCATATTTCACTTATTCATGGTATGAATGACCAAGAGTGTCGCCAACTGCTTGTTCTCTTATCGCGTACCGAAGCCAATGACCCAATACTAGATGAGGTGGCGGAGAAGTTAGATCGTCAACCACTGGCAATGGCCGCGGCAGCCGTGTATATGAGAGAAGTAACCAATAGTTGCCCAGATTTTTCTTGGCGAGATTATTTACGAAAGCTTGAGAAAGGTAAAAGAGGTTTAACGGAACATTGGCTTCAGGAGATAAATTCAGCAGCATATTCATCCACCATGAGCACAGCAGTGCTGTTAGCTGTTGAAAAATGTGCAGGAAATAACACAATTCTTGAACACGCTTTCAACCTTTTCTCTTTGATATCGTTTGAACCACTACCACTTGATCTTGTTGTAAAATATGTTCAGCAGCAAGAAGATTTAGAGGCCGAGGATATTATTCCGACATTTAAAACACTGCTCGTTGTTTGTTCAAGTTTGTAACGATGGTGATATCCGCCTTCATCGTGTTGTTTATGAAGCTGTTAAAACACTTTTCAACAAAACTAAAGGAGATAATATTTCCGAAACTGGTATGCAAAATAAGGACGGAACAAAAACACAAAACATTATTAAAATTATTCAGGACGCTGTAAAAACAATGAGTTACTTCAGTGATAGAGAAGATAAAAGAAAATTAATTCCGCATTTGAAAGCATTTAAGAACCAAATGGATAATAATAGCCTTTTACCTGATCAAGCGTTATACGTCATCAGTTTCGATTTTGAAACAACTGAAATTTGCAGAATATGCGATTTTTTTGGGAAAACTCTTAACTACTACAGTTCTGACTATAACCTTTCCACTGAATTCCATCAGCTCGCACTGAAAATACGGTTAGAACATTTTGGAGAAAACCACACGGACGTTGCTACTTCATACGCCAATCTGGGTTGGGCATGTATAACAGGATGTGATCTGGAATGCGCTGCAGATTATTTTCAACGTGCGTTGGAAATTCGATTAGATCGACTAGGACCGAAGCATAGTAATGTTGCTACCTCATACAACAACCTCGGTAGTGTGTGTGAAAGTAAAGGTGATCTTGATGGTGCTAAAGATTATTATCAACGTGCGTTGGAAATTCAATTGGATCGACTCGGACCGAACCATACTAATGTTGCTATATCATACAGCAACCTTGGTGATGTTTGTAAAAGAAAAGGTGATCTTGATCTTGCTAATGATTATTATCAACGTGCGTTGGAAATTCAATTGGATCGACTAGGACCGAAACATACTAATGTTGCCATCTCATACAGCAACCTGGGTGATGTGTGTTACAGTAAAGGTGATCTTGATATTGCTAATGATTATTATCAACGTGCGTTGGAAATTCAATTGGATCGACTAGGACCGAACCATACTGATGTTGCCATCACATACAGCGACCTGGGCAGTGTGTGTGAAAGTAAAGGTGATCTTGATCTTGCTAATGATTATTATCAACGTGAGTTGGAAATTAAATTGGATCGACTAGGACCGAACCATACTAATGTTGCTATCTCATACAGCAACCTGGGTGATGTGTGTAAACGTAAAGGTGATCTTGATCGTGCTAATGATTATTATCAACGTGCGTTGGAAATTCAATTGGATCGACTAGGACCGAAACATACTAATGTTGCTATCTCATACAGCAACCTGGGTGATGTGTGTTACGATAAAGGTCATCTTGATCTTGCTAATGATTATTATCAACGTGCGTTGGAAATTGAATTGGATCGACTAGGACCGAACCATACTAATGTTGCTATGTCATACAGCAACCTTGGTGATGTTTGTAAAAGAAAAGGTGATCTTGATCTTGCTAATGATTATTATCAACGTGCGTTGGAAATTCAATTGGATCGACTAGGACCGAAACATACTAATGTTGCCATCTCATACAGCAACCTGGGTGATGTGTGTTACAGTAAAGGTGATCTTGATATTGCTAATGATTATTATCAACGTGCGTTGGAAATTCAATTGGATCGACTAGGACCGAACCATACTAATGTTGCCATCACATACAGCAACCTGGGCAGTGTGTGTGAAAGTAAAGGTGATCTTGATCTTGCTAATGATTATTATCAACGTGGGTTGGAAATTAAATTGGATCGACTAGGACCGAACCATACTAATGTTGCTATCTCATACAGCAACCTGGGTGATGTGTGTAAACGTAAAGGTGATCTTGATCGTGCTAATGATTATTATCAACGTGCGTTGGAAATTCAATTGGATCGACTAGGACCGAAACATACTAATGTTGCTATCTCATACAGCAACCTGGGTGATGTGTGTAAAAGTAAAGGTGATCTTGAACGTGCTAATGATTATTATCAATGTGCGTTGGAAATTGATTTGGATCGACTAGGACCGAACCATACTAATGTTGCCATCACATACAGCAAACTGGGCAGTGTCTGTGAAAGTAAAGGTGATCTTGATCTTGCTAATGATTATTATCAACGTGGGTTGGAAATTCAATTGGATCGACTAGCACCGAACCATACTAATGTTGCTATCTCATACAGCAACCTGGGTGATGTGTGTAAACGTAAAGGTGATCTTGATCTTGCTAATGATTATTATCAACGTGGGTTGGAAATTAAATTGGATCGACTAGGACCGAACCATACTAATGTTGCTATCTCATACAGCAACCTGGGTGATGTGTGTAAACGTAAAGGTGATCTTGATCGTGCTAATGATTATTATAAACGTGCCTTGGAAATTGAATTGGATCGACTAGGACCGAACCATACTAATGTTGCTATCTCATACAGCAACCTGGGTGATGTGTGTAAAAGTAGAGGTGATCTTGAACGTGCTAATGATTATTATCAACGTGCGTTGGAAATTCAATTGGATCGACTAGGACCGAACCATACTAATGTTGCCATCACATACAGCAACCTGGGCAGTGTGTGAAAGTAAAGGTGATCTTGATCTTGCTAATGATTATTATCAACGTGGGTTGGAAATTAAATTGGATCGACTAGGACCGAACCATACTAATGTTGCTATCTCATACAGCAACCTGGGTGATATGTGTAAAAGTAAAGGTGATCTTGAACGTGCTAATTATTATTATCAACGTGCGTTGGAAATTGAATTGGATCGACTAAGACCGAACCATACTCATGTTGCTATCTCATACAGCAACCTGGGTGATGTGTGTAAAAGTAAAGGTGATCTTGAACGTGCTAATGATTATTGTCAACGCGCGTTGGAAATTCAATTAGATCGACTAGGACCGAACCATATAAAAGTTGCTACCTCATACAGCAACCTGGGTGATGTGTGTAAAAGTAAAGGTGATTTTGATCGTGCTAATGATTATTATCAACGTGGGTTGGAAATTAAATTGGATCGACTAGGACCGAACCATACTAATGTTGCTATCTCATACAGCAACCTGGGTGATGTGTGTAAACGTAAAGGTGATCTTGATCGTGCTAATGATTATTATCAACGTGCGTTTGAAATTCAATTGGATCGACTAGGACCGAAACATACTAATGTTGCTATCTCATACAGCAACCTGGGTGATGTGTGTAAAAGTAAAGGTGATCTTGAACGTGCTAATGATTATTATCAATGTGCGTTGGAAATTGATTTGGATCGACTAGGACCGAACCATACTAATGTTGCCATCACATACAGCAAACTGGGCAGTGTCTGTGAAAGTAAAGGTGATCTTGATCTTGCTAATGATTATTATCAACGTGGGTTGGAAATTCAATTGGATCGACTAGCACCGAACCATACTAATGTTGCTATCTCATACAGCAACCTGGGTGATGTGTGTAAACGTAAAGGTGATCTTGATCGTGCTAATGATTATTATCAACGTGGGTTGGAAATTAAATTGGATCGACTAGGACCGAACCATACTAATGTTGCTATCTCATACAGCAACCTGGGTGATGTGTGTAAACGTAAAGGTGATCTTGATCGTGCTAATGATTATTATAAACGTGCCTTGGAAATTGAATTGGATCGACTAGGACCGAACCATACTAATGTTGCTATCTCATACAGCAACCTGGGTGATGTGTGTAAAAGTAGAGGTGATCTTGAACGTGCTAATGATTATTATCAACGTGCGTTGGAAATTCAATTGGATCGACTAGGACCGAACCATACTAATGTTGCCATCACATACAGCAACCTGGGCAGTGTGTGAAAGTAAAGGTGATCTTGATCTTGCTAATGATTATTATCAACGTGGGTTGGAAATTAAATTGGATCGACTAGGACCGAACCATACTAATGTTGCTATCTCATACAGCAACCTGGGTGATATGTGTAAAAGTAAAGGTGATCTTGAACGTGCTAATTATTATTATCAACGTGCGTTGGAAATTGAATTGGATCGACTAAGACCGAACCATACTCATGTTGCTATCTCATACAGCAACCTGGGTGATGTGTGTAAAAGTAAAGGTGATCTTGAACGTGCTAATGATTATTGTCAACGTGCGTTGGAAATTCAATTGGATCGACTAGGACCGAACCATATAAAAGTTGCTACCTCATACAGCAACCTGGGTGATGTGTGTAAAAGTAAAGGTGATTTTGATCTTGCTAATGATTATTATCAACGTGCGTTAGAGATTGAATTGGATCGACTAGGACCGAACCATACTGATGTTGCTATCTCCTACAGCAACCTCGGTGATGTGTGTAGAAGTAAAGGTGATTTTGATCTTGCTAATGATTATTATCAACGTGCGTTGGAAATTGAATTACAGAAATTCGAGGCGAACCATACTGACGTGGCTACTTCATACAACAACCTGGAACAGGTGCGTAATCTGCTTGATTTAAATTCCACGATAATAGAAATTGACGTATTTGCGGCGAGCAATAAATAATTATTGGATGTAGTTGAACGCCATAATTTTTATTAAGAATTATTAAGTCAGATTTTGGCCAGCGTTTGCTTTGAAATCGTGATCGTGAAATCCCGTCAACTGACGTTCTTGGATCCTAGCTTAGTCAGGAACTTCTGCCGAGAGACTTTAGAATTCAATCATGAAGGCGTGACGCACGTGTTAAAAATCTCTCTATCACGCAAATCAAAACGGATTCAATAAAAATTATTATTACTCCGGCGTCAGCGACGGAGTTGAAAATTTGCCTCGGTTTTGTGTTGTTGTTTTTTTTTGGTTTTTTTTATTTTTTTTTTAATTATTTTTGTCGTCGCAAGTCTGTAATGGCGCGAAATATACTAGTATTTGAAATCAATGAAATGTGTATGTGATTGGATTTATCTATGTCCCAGTCTTGTCTCCCAAGAGTTGTGGTGCACAGCTTTGGCTAATTTTCCGATGCGTGATTTGATTTCCCTCGCATGATACGGCAATTCCTCCAAGAGGAACAAATAAACCGTTCTTTTGATGCTGTTCGATTAAGTTTAAATTGAATTGGGGTAAGAATACATTTAATACATGTAGATTCTGGTCCTATTTTAATAATATCGGTGCTATTTCGCTGTTTAACAAGATGTGGCCGTGTATGGGCGTGTTGACACGTCGCAGTTTGCACAGGATTGAAAATTTAATATAACTATATAAGCACGAATTCCAAAGGCAAAGTGTAAGACAAAGTGAATGTATCATGCGTTTTATTTACATTTTTGAACAATTGAACTTCTATACTTTTTAAAGTACGATGTGCTTCTGAATTTCGCGATCGAACAACATTTAGGTTCGCAAGACATCTAAATGAATATGAACTGTATTGTTTATGTTCAGAAGCTTTATATTGAAGACTGGCACGTGCGCGCCACGCCGGAGTTAACGCCAGAACAGGCGTCTTGTTGTATTTAAAATCAAGTCGATCTTCGACGTCAAACATTTGCAAAATCTAAGCTGTGTCGTAGGGTTAATTCATTGAAAGCTGTGTCGTAAGGTTAATTCATTCAAATATGTTGTAAATAAGATTTTATAAACTGTGGCAAACCACGCCATTTTATATTTCAAAACCCGGCTTTTTCTGGATTCAAGAATTCCACACAAACTATAATTTGTAGATATGATTGATATTTTGTATTTATCGAATAATGATGAAACAATTATTGAATGAGATTGAATTTCGCGATTCAGTCGCGAAAATTGCAAAATTCTATTTTCGCTGTACTTCATATGCTAACATGTACAAAAGCTGCAGGAAACTAGGGGGATCATTTCTTCTGCAAATGTACAGTGATATACGTACAAAAAAACCGTCGGGCAGAACGAAAAATATTAACATGTACCATTTATTGATATGATAATAATAAAAAACAACGACTAATGGAGCTACTTTTGTGCATAGGTAAAATTAAGATAATGGCAGAAAGTCGCAAACTGTTTGAAAGTTTATAAATATTATCAAGGTCAAGCTAATAATCATGATATAAACCTGCTGAATCATTCCGATGTGTGTAATTTTTAGAGTAACCTGGCTATTGAGCGTAAAAAGAATGGTCTACAAACTGCTTCAGTTGGCACAAGAAGACGTCGCCGTAAAAACATACATGAAAACAGGGAAAATATTATCCTAAGAGTTGAAGCAAACGTGTTGAAGCAAACGACTAAGTTGAAGATTTAGAAATGATAGTCTGGTAGCAGATCGAAGGAATCGCGAAAAATTGGAATAGTCACAGCATGGTGGCACTCTTTATCTTTAATCTTTACAGCGAATGAACCTTTTTGGTTATTACAGATAGACTTAAAAAATCTAATCAGAGAAACACATGCAACCAACGCGCGGAGCTTTCAGTAATATATTTGACGCTATAAATGACCCGGTTATCTTTGATAGTCATGAAAAATTTAAACCTTTGCCTTGAAACAGAGAAATCTGGCCCATTAATTACTTCTCTTCTTCTCTCATGTTTTTTGTCAAATGTAAAATGTCCCGATATACCGTCATACTATTGTCGGTGATTTCAACAAAATGACTAATACAATATGCGACTTTTCACAAGTGTTTGACCCAGAGAACATTTGTGATTCCGTTTTTCTTTTTATACCATAATTAGATGAGTGTAAATTGATAGTAGTGAGTTATAAAATTAACGAATCTCAAAAGAGAATTATAAAAATTAAAATGCAATATAAAAATTGTAAACACTTCCGTCGTTATTATTGCAATCACGACTGATTTTCACATTTTGTTTATGAACAGTCTTTTCCCTCTTCTCTGCAAGCATGGCGGATTATCCAAAAATATTAATTTTCATGGCTTAATCACTTCCATGTATAGGAATAAAAATCAAACGGGCATGTACAGAACGATTAAATATATAGAACTAATCAATCGCCCTGAAGTTTGAACATCCCAGTTTTCCGTACCTATACACGCACTCCGAAATTGTGTGAAAAATAAATCCATAATTTACATATATCAATAAAAGCGTCTTCTTGACGCATGAGTGCTTCCACAGGCAACTTGTAATTTTTTCAGTGTGTCAAACATGATAGATCCAAAATGGTTGTTAATTAAGAATGAGGTAATTACCTAATGGCCACCGAAACGTCTAAATTTTGATGCCATAACCTTTGCTGTAAATCGATCCCAGTTCAGTATAGTATTTAATCTAGGTTTGGTTCTAGCACAATTGTTTCTTAAAGTAAATTTACATACCTCTATAATTAGAATTTTGACTTCAATTCCGTTAGCACGTTTCGTGTGTTTTTAGCAAATAACAATCTAAATTTGAACTTGTGACTAACAACAAAATTTGAAAATTTGAAAAGCGCCGAAATGGTGGGCGACGGTTCCTAATTGTTTTGATTGACTTGCCAATCAAAATTGCAACATTGCGTCACAATATTGCAGTGTTGTTCGTAAGAGAACATCCGGTTTGACTATAAAGTTCCGCATAATTTAACAGTCATAACATGATTATTCACTTTTGCGTTACTGGGGAAAGACATGTGAATTTACTTGAAATGCATTACGAAAACAAGGAGCTTTATTCAATAAACGACAATATTTTTATATTTTTGTCTTACCTTTAACAGGTTCCCGAATAATGTAATGTAATGCAATATAATGGTTAGCAAGTAGCTAACGCGTCGCTGAAATGACATTAGAGAATTTCTGACGAAAAACTAGCCGCACACAAGAGTAACTTGCTGAGCTAACATGCAGCATGGCTAACAGCCACGCAAGGTCTTTACTCACCTAACAGCCACGCAAAATTTTTAGCGCAGCTAATAGCCACGCGAGATTTTTAGCTCAGCTAATAGCCATGCACGCGAGATTTTTAGCTCAGCTAATAGAGAGTTTACTTGTCACGACGCGGCTAAGAAGAAGACGACTTAGAAAGGCTTGGTAACAAACGCGGACCAAGCCGCCTCGTCCTATTTTGTTCCTTACGTTACGAAACACAACGCGCCGGGTAGAACATCAATTTAGGCGGGAAAATTTTGGTCTTTTAAAATCTTTGTTATAGAGGTTTTTGTAAGAGCAAATTTAAATGGGAACGAACTTCGTGAATGAACTTTGCGAGAAAGAAACGGCATGATGAGTTTGTGCTTGAAATTCGTAGTTTATTAATCAATGTAATCCCGGATATGCTTTTAAGTAATCTTCAAGTTCTGGGATAAAAATATGGACGCTACTGATGCATATTAAAAACACAATGTGATAAACAAATTCATTTGTACGAAATTCATTTGTACGAAATTCATTTGTACGAAATGTAACGAATGAATACCAGAGAAAATGTAGTTAAAGGAATAAATGAATCAAACAATAAAAGGTAAGAACTTAATTTCAAGTTTTGAACGAAAAAATATTCGATATTCATTTTACGTTCGTAGCGTTGTGATCACAACATAAAATTAACAAAATTCCGTCGTAGAATCGTAAAGAACGCGCCCGTCGGAATCACACCAGACGCGTTGGTCGGGCTTGTCACCAAGCTTTTCTAACGCGTCTATACCCTATAGCCGCGTCGTGAATCGTAAACTCTATTATTCGGGAACCTGTTAAAATTAAGGTAAGACTGAAAAATATGAAAATTTTGAGAAAACGAGAGTTTCTGCCCGTCTTCGATCGAATTTGGCAGCTGCAATACGTAAGATAGAAGTTTTTATTTATTTATACTCTTCGCCATGTTTGGCTGGTGAGCCCCACAGAGTTTTAACTCCAGTTATGGGGTCCCTTGCTTACAATACAATTATACTA